ATATCACTTCATACATGAGTTGGTTCGAGAAAGGGAGATTGAAATTGGTTATTGCAAAACTGAAGAGCAAGTGGCCGACATTTTCACTAAGGCATTGAAGACGGAGACTTTTGTCAAGTTGAAGAAAATGTTGGGTATGGCCAAATTAGTGGAGCTTGATTTAAAGGAGGCAACCTAGAAATATAAACCAAGATGTTGGATATTGGCTAGTTTTGTTGGCAAGTCTAAAGTTGGTCACATGGGATAAAATCCCATATTGGTAGTACTAATAAGTTGGGCAAGTTTGTAGGGTACATAGGTCATAAAAGGATTCTACTTTTTGGTTTTGTACTTTTGAAACCGCATCCTCCTTTTGAGTAATAGAAGAGAATTTCTTTCCTTTGCCCCATATGTCTAATTCTTGATATTGTTCCTGTGGGTTTATGTGTGTTTATTTGTTTGGGTCCTACATTTCGAATGCATCATAATTAACCCAATGGAAAAAAGGAAAGGAATATTGGAATTCACCCCTCCTGGGCTCTGAAAATTCTACAATAGCAATAACAAAAAAGGCTGAAACTCTAAGATTAATGGAGAAGCATTTAGCTCCAGTCTTAAGATATATCAAGTAACTTCTCCTTGTTCTACTGAATTATAGCCACTTATACAACATGATTAAAGGTTTTGCATTTCTTGTTGGTTAATGAGCCTTGCTTGCTTCTCCAAACTACCATGTTTGGGCTGCAATGGATCACAGGCTTTTCTAGCAAAAACATTAATCTTCTGAGTTGCGTCTCTCTCAATATAGATAAAAGTAAGGCAAGTTTTGGTATGATCAAACACGTGCAATGCACATGCACTTTCCTAGTTCCTAAAATGTTTGGCATCAGTTATTAGTAAGCATTTTGTGTATCCTATATATATATATATATAAAGAAGTTTGCAGGTGACTGTTGGAAAATTTTCATTTGTCATCTTTAAGGATAATTTAGGTAGGGAAAAAAAATCAAATGCAAGGCATTAAGCCAAATTTGTGCAATATTATAATGTATAGTTGAGTTGGGGTTGACTATTGTATCCTCCCATTTGCAATTGGCTTATATTCCACATGATTATCAAGCTTTTAAGTGGTGTTTAAACCACTTAAAAATGTAATTGCAATGCTCTTCATCTTTTTTTTTTCTTTTTTATAATTGTTGGGTAGCTTTTATAACTACAATAATAGAGGATCATAATGCTAAAGATAATTGGTTCAAGAAGCACTTAATAATGAACATGATTTGTTTTGGTTCATATTTCCAATCTGTTACAATCATAATTATAGTACTCTTCAACTTGACAATAATGGAGGCTTTTAATACTGAAGAATGTTGCTTCAAGTGCATGTACTCAATCTTTTGTTGTGGGTGTTTAGACAAGCGTGCTCATTTACTTTCTCTCTTTCTAGAGTTTTGGATGTTTAACTGATACAATAAAAACTGTGAGTTTTCTACTGCAATACTTTTTCAATAGCTATTGTATGAATATAGAAATTTCATTATGGAATAAATGATACATACATATGAATATCCATAAGAACCTTTTTACATTTTCTAACTACAATTCCAAAATTTGAGGTTTGTGGCTGCAGGTGGTCAAACTGTGACTAAAGATTATCTATTGACTACAATTTCATGATTAAGGTAGGATCTAAATTTGACCTTATAGTTTATGCATGTTAATTATTGGTTGGATATGGCTATGATTGTAGTACAATGGTATAGTAACAAAGGTAATGATACGTTGCTATTGTTGTTGTGATATGGTGTGATTATATACTACAATCCTATTTCTTTTACTTATAAATTTGTTTTCCTTTAGTTGATTTGGCCAATTTACTTATAATTTCATGCACTTCAACAAATTCAATTAAACCAATTGCCATGTAGTTCTAATTCAACTATCTTTTTTTATAAATTTATTTGAATAAATATTTTATCACATAGGTTAAAACTTTTGCACCTATAGCGAGGGTTTTCCCCCTAGTTTCAAGTATATAAAGAGTAAACTACTATTGGCTGCTAACTATAAGTGGGCAATCTATAATATATATATATATATATATATATATATATATATATGAAAGTAGCTATTTTAATTAGAGACTTTCTCATTCCTACTTGTCATACTCAATTGAGCAGTATTGACGGGTCAAGTTTTCTTTTGGGTTGACCCAATTACTTGGTTAGTTTAATAATATTGTTTCATTCCAAACTTCTAAAATAGACATATTTTATCCACTTAATCATATATCTTTCAAAAATACGCATATTTTATCCACTTAATCACATATCTTTCAAAATCCTACATTTAAAAAAAAATCACCTCATCTTTTTAATTTTTCTCTTCATAATCTCCAATTTTTATCTTCTTCTGTAATTAGATAGAATTTATCTTATTTTATAAGAGAATTTACCTTTTTTCACTCAAACAGTATCCACTTCTTTTGATTATGAATAGATAAACCTATTATCTATTGTCAAAATTCATTTAGATATAAGATAATCCTTATCATCAAAATTGAAAATCTTATTTTCATATCCGATTAACCTCAATTTTGAAATCCTATACCGTACTTATGAAATGTATTAGTTAGTGATGAATTCAATCATTTCAACAACTATTTGGTTCATCTAATGGTTTCTACAATTTTTTTTTAGAAACTTTATGACGATTTAGTAGTGATTCTTTTGGTACATTAGTTTTATAGCTTCTAGAGTACTATAAATTTTTGGACAGTGTTAGAGAAAGTGACAGTGGTTTGATCCGTTCACTAAGACTGAATGAAAAACTATCTTTATTGGAGGACATTTTGGAGTTCTGGGAACATGCCAGAGACTGAAGAACTATTTTATTGGCCAGGGATGAAGAAAGATGTAGAAGCTTATGTGTATGATTGTGACATTTGCAAGAGAAGTAAGGATGAGCTCTGCCATTATCCAGGGTTATTACTTATTACAATCATTAGAAGTCCCTGAGCAGGCGTGGCAACACATTTCTATGGACTTTATTGAAGGGTTACCAAAATCCTTTGGGAGTAATGTGGTGGTGGACAGGTTCACGAAATATGCTCATTTTATCCCCTTGGCATCCCATTACACTGCCAAGATAGTTGCTGATACCTTCTTTGACCAGATATTCAAATTGCATGGCTTACCTCTCAGCATTATATCTGACAGAGACAAGGTGTTTTCTAGTGCATTTTGGCAAGAGCTATTCAGGTTACTAGGGACAAAATTGCACCTTTCTTCTGCCTACCATCCACAAACTGATAGATAGAATGAAAGAGTAAACAGGTGTGTGGAAGCATACCTCAGGAGTATGTGCATGCAACAACCAAAACGGTGGAGGAAATGGCTAGCCACTGCTGAGTGGTGGTGTAATACTAATTACCACACCAGCCTTCAAAGGTCTCCATTTCAAGCTCTGTATGGGTATAAGCCTACACAACTCAGTTTAGTTCCATACCATACTCAGGTAGCAGCAGTGGAGGATTAGGCCAATAACAGAGTTAACTGGAACTTTTTGCCTAGAGAAAATTTATTGCAAGCACAAAATAGGATCAAGCAGCTGGCTGACAGGAATAGGACAGAGAGAAGCTTTGAGGTGGGAGATTGGGTGTACCTTAAACTCCAGCCCTACAGACAGACATCAATAGCTCTAAGGAAGAAGTTGAAATTGGCTGCAAAACACTATAGACCATATCAGATAGAGCTGAAGTTGGGACCAGTGGCCTATAAATTGAAGCTACCTGAAGGTTCTACAGTGCATCCAGTATTCCATGTATCCTTGCTTAAAGAATCACCTAAAGGGGCAGCTGTTAGCACTGGTCTACTGGAGTTGAACGAGCATGATGAGATACGCGTAGTCCCATTGGCGGTATTGGATATGAGAGTTATCAATAGAAATGGGGTAGCAGTAGAACATATGTTAATCCAGTGGGAAAATATGGCGCTTGAGGAACTGAAGGAACCTCTGTCAAACATCTTGCTGCAGGAAATTAGGGACGCATATGCTAAGAGATGATAGGACCTAATTGCATGAACCTAGTTACCCGAATTGCATAGGCAGGGGATAGGTACAATTTCATAGCTACTCTTTTAGGAAGAACAATTGAAAAAAGAGTAGTTCTTCCAAAATGAATAGTTCACGTTGAAGCCGGGTATTTGGAAGACAGATGCAGACAAATCTAGAACAGGAAGCAGTTTTTGAAGACAGCCGTCTACTTTAGATACGTGCAGCTCATGATATATATAATCAATTTCCTAATGGGAAAGAAAGCTTGGTTTGACTTCTTAGGGATGCTTTAACGGGAAATGGATTCTCTAACACCGTCTCCTGATTTTGGGTGCAAGAAAGCTCATTGTGCTGTGGCTGACTATCGTTCAACCGTGGTGGCTGCACCTTCTCACCATGCAATTGTCATGTCTTCCACTGACTGGATCCTAGAGCAGTCAAGGTAGCTAAGAAGATGAGCCTGACCACGTTGAGAATCACAATTTCCCGTGGAAGAAAATAAAATAACCTCCTGCAACTCCCTCTTCAAGATAAATTGTGGAAACTATCATTTTGAACTGGGCCGTCCACAACTCCTTGTTTTTCCTTCGGTTGACTTGGACTTCTGAAAGATGTCCAACGTCAATTTATCGCTCAGGAAATAACAAGAAAACCACAAATAAAAAAGCCCAAAAAAGGGGGTTTGAGTTGTAAACAATGTAGACTTGTGGGGTACTAGGCCAGTTCACTAAATTTCATGGAAAATTGGTGCAAGAAAGGGTTATAATATTCAAAAGTGAAGGAATTAATTTTGTGTAAAGACAAAAAAGAGAAAGTTGTGTTATTCATTTTCATCTGAATTTTCAATCAAAAGTGGAACCCCACTAATTAATGTCAAATTGACAACCAGGTAAAAATTCCATCAAGTTCAAGTAATCATCACTCAATGTATCAAATGTCACTTTCTCTGTGGAAAAAGTATTGGTCATTTCTTCTTGTATCGCTATTGGAAGAGGAATTGATCGCGAAGAAAGTCCTAAATTGGTGGGTTATGAGTTATGACTTGATCAATTACAGGGAAAATATAAAAAAGACGGTCTCTTCTGACTCCTCAGTTCTCTCAAAGTAGAAGCAGCTCATCAAATTTCAGCACCGATGTCACAAGCCAAGCTATCCATAGCATCTCTACTTGTTCTAGTATTAGTCTTGGCAGGCTTGGCAACCAGCTGCGAAGCCACCAACAATCACCACTGCAACCCTTCCTCTTGTGGTGATATCCGAAATATTAGTTACCCTTTTCGACTGAAAGAAGATCCCATCCATTGCGGTGACCCCAGCTACGAGCTTGCCTGTGAGAACAATCGCACCATTGTCAACTTGTTTTTACAAAAGTACTACGTGCAGGAAATTATCTATGAAAAGTACTTGATGCGGGTAGTTGATCCAGGCCTAGATGAGGCCAATTGTTCTTCTTTTCCAATTAACACTCTGGAATATGATGAGCTACAAATGGCTGATAACCCACAGGATGCATATGATATCTTCTATACAAATATTCCTGTACTTTTTATTTCTTGCCCTGCTCCGGTGAGATCTCCTTTCTTTTCAGATATCATGGCATTCTGCAGAAATCATATGTCTTCCAACTTTTCATCACCAACGAATAACCATTCTTACCTTTTATTTGGAAACCATGAAGTATCTGTACTGAATGATTCCTGTGCTGTCAACATGGCTGCTTGGATCACAAAGGATTTTGGTGGAAGAAAAGCTTATACTTCTCCTGCAGGTCTTTATGATGCTCTTGCCTATGGATTTTTGCTTGATTGGCGTGGCATCTATTGCCAACAGTGCAGCAGTGGCTTTTGTGATCGTGACGTGAATGATTCTATCCGTTGCTCACCTAAATATTGGCAGTGCGAGCTCCTTCACCCAAGCACATTCAGGCCCACATTCGAATGTACGCTTACCAGGCCTTAACTTTATTTCAGTTGGAAGTTTGGAATTATAACTTACTTTGTTTTACTTTGTAAATAACTTATAGACAACGTGCTTGGGTTGAAAGCGTTTCTGAAATTTTTTGTTCATAGAATGATTAGTTTGTTTATTTTATAAATTGCATTTTGCTGACAAATTAAAGAGCCCTCCTGCACGTGCAAGAAGTGCAAAATCACAAAAACATGTAGCTTTAAGATCCACTTTCTATCTTCTTTTTTTTTTATCTCCTTTCTACTTCGCTTGTATAACGTTTTTGGCTGGAGAACTTTGCAGGTCTAAAGGAGATATGGTACCAGCAAGTTGAGTTTTTAAATCAATACACCGGTCAGTGCTCTATCCTGTTTTGCTCCTTGTCCAAAATAGCTTTTTCCTTGAAGTCTTGCCATTTAACATCTAATCACTTTTCCCTCTTGTCATAACTGCTGGCAGCAATTAGCAGAGAGTTAGGAATTCTCATTGGTAAGACACCAAATTTTCCTTTTCGAGGCTGCTTAGATGAAGTATAAAAGTAAATATCCTTGTGATGATTGAGCACTTTTTCAGTTGTTACTTTAGTCTCTCCTTGTACAGGACAATTTTGAAGCACAAGGATCTTAATGAACCTTCTGATTTGAAAGGTTTCTTTCTAATGCAGGAATGTGTCTGGCAGGGAGATTTTTATTGGGTGTCCTATTCCTGTTTGCATTAATAATCTACAAAATGAGAAGGTCGCACTTGTCTATGTATGAAAACATTGAAGACTTCTTACAGAGTCCAAACAATCTCATGCCAGTTAGGTACGCATACTCAGACATAAGAAAGATGACCAATAATTTCAAAGACAAATTGGGTGAAGGAGGCTATGGGACTGTTTTCAAAGGAAAGCTTCGGAGTGGTCCACTGGTAGCGGTAAAAATGCTGGGCAAATCCAAGGCCAACGGGCAGGAGTTTATCAGCGAAGTCGCTACCATAGGGAGGATTCACCATGCTAATGTGGTAAAACTGATCGGCTTCTGCTTTGAAGGCTCCAAAAGGGCTCTTGTCTATGAATTCATGCCTAATGGATCTCTTGAGAAATATATCTTCCGAAAAGAAACAGAGACAGCATCCCTGAGTTGTGAAAAGCTGTTCGACATTGCTCTTGGGATTGCTAAAGGAATTGATTATTTACATCGCGGCTGTGAGATGCAAATTTTGCATTTTGATATCAAGCCTCACAACATTCTTCTAGATGAGCATTTTGCTCCTAAACTTTCTGACTTTGGACTTGCAAAATTGTATCCAACAGAGAATAGTATTGTGTCCCTGACAGCTGCAAGAGGTACGTTGGGATACATGGCCCCAGAGTTGTACTACAAAAATATTGGAGGAGTCTCGTACAAAGCAGACGTATACAGCTTTGGAATGCTGCTGCTGGAAATGGCTGGGAAAAGGAAAAATCTGAACCCTTTAGTGGAGCAGAGGAGCCAGATATACTTCCCTTCATGGGTTTATGATCAGCTGAGCAAAGGAAACAGTATTGAGATGGGAGATGCCTCAGAAGATGAAAGAAAGATGTTGAAGAAGATGATCCTGGTAGCATTGTGGTGCATACAGATGAAGCCAATCAATCGCCCTTCCATGAACAAAGTCACAGAAATGCTTGAAGGAGATGGTGAACTCTTAGAAACGCCTCCTAAGCCATTCCAAAATCCAGACGAAATGCCTGCACCTGAGGCTGAGGATGGTGGAAATGATGCAGAAGAGACCACTGATTTCCCACAGCTACAACTAGATCGTGTAGATTCAAGTGATATGAGTATGGATCGAGATTAAAGTAAATCCAAGTGTCATAGAAGTCTTTCTCTTGGACAAAGACAATTATCATTTCTTCCTGAATTAGTTGTAATAGTATTCATGCATACATACGTGTTGAAATTTTAATCAAAGAGCTGCTCTTGCTATTTATCCCAAAAACAAAAAAGCTGCTTGTGCAATATTAATGTAATAATTATATTGGAGCAATTGTTATTGTTATTCCTGTCTGCAATTACTGGATTAAGGATCTCTTATGAGGATTTCTTAAAAAGGAAGCATTGAATCAATTGTTAGTACATTTAACGAATTGAAGAAATGGGGTAATTTTTTGAGTGAATTTATAAGGAACCTCATAGTTTGGTTTGCTTTTGTTTGAATTAAATGAAAAAGTATATATCTTGAAGCAACTAAGCATCCTTTTCATAGTCGTAACATGGATGCAGGTAACTATTACTTCGTGGACTAAAAGGCAAGCAAGGCAAGGCAGATATATATTTTGTTGGCATAATTTCATTGATATTGGCTGTTCTGGAATAAGAGCAGTCAGAAATGCTAGTGGCAATTTTCTTTTTTCTTTTTTTTTTTCTGAAGGTCTGCTAATGGCTATATTATAGCTTGCATCATCGGATATTTGTCCTTTCTTTTACATGTGGACTATTGAATACTTCACGGTCTATAGCCTATTCATCCGGGAAGACAAATATGAAATCAACATCGCTGGAGAGTTTTACGAATTGTTATGGTGCTAGAAATATCAACAAGACACAGTCAATTTGGCAATTTATTGTTTCTCATTTTGGCTCATTGCATAAAGGCTTGTCGCTTGGAAATTAGAAAGCGCCTGCCAATATGGGCAGAGCTCTTCACAGAAGCATGTATTCTTTTTTTTTTTTTTTGGGTATTATTAATGTCCATAGTAGCTTTCATGTATTATGGTACATCGATAGCTAATATTTTCTAGGATTAGGTTTAATTAATCAACAAAAGTCTTGACTTGAGTTGACAAAAGACAACTAGCTCTCTGGGTTGGTAGTTACCACTTAGTAGAAGGTTTCCCTACATCGCTAGTTTCCCACGTCGGTTCTGAGAGGAGTTTGGGTTGGGTAGTTAAGTCGATGGGTTGACTTCAAGAGTTGTCGCCTTTTGGAGTTCAATCTGGGATTAGGTTTAATTAATCAACAAAAGTCTTGACTTGAGTTGACAAAAGATAGCTAATATTTTCTGACATCAGCACACATTATTATAAACATTCGACTTTTCAATACTACAAAAGGACTTGCATAATGAGTCTACTTAAATAGTAATCTTGACGTTTAGGGCATTTCAATTGATTTGTTCAAGACTTTCTCTTATTGACTTTGTAGACAAATTGATTGTGGTACAAAATGTCCAAGATGAACGTCATTTCTTGGAGTGTTACGATTTTTAGAGATACTCAATTTTGACCAGAAAAAGTGGATGAGTTTTAGCTGTTGAGAGAAGGTTTTGAGGAAATTAGGATTGTGTTCGCAAAGTCTACAGATGCAAAAAGTATTTATCTATAACTTTTTCCTATAATCACTGCGTTTTGCAATACGGCAAAATTTTGGTTTTGGCTGTCCACAATAGTTGTAAAACAGTTTGGGATGTATCATTGTAATAACTAACCAATCACAATGTGAAAGATCGAGATAGAGTTAGTCAAGACATTAACATTTGGTATAAACGCTGTAATTAATTGTGTATTTCATCCATTTCTCACTTTACTTAAAACCATAAGAGGGTTAGGTGGTTATTTTGAAACCTTAGAAGGCCCATTTGACATTATGTAAAATTATTAGTGGTTAAAAGTAATTTATCCTGATTATTATGGAAATGCGATGCAATTTTTTTATGTATTGGTGAGGGGGTAATTTGGATATTATAAGTCATTTATCCTAATTATTAAGGAAATGCAATGCAATTTTTTTATTTATTGGTGAGGGTGGGTAATTTGGATATTACAAAATTAAGATAAACTTCTGCTTACACCCTTAATTACCAAAACTCATTTTATAAGATAATAGATAGATAGATATAGATTAATGTGAAAATTAAGATAAACTTCTGTTTACACCCTTAATTGCCAAAACTCATTTTATAGGATAATAGATAGATAGATATAGATTAATGTGTCTTAACGAATGTCTTAAGGACACCAAAACAAAAGAGCTCTTTAATTAGATTTAGAATTATTACATTTATGTTAGACGCAAGTCAGTTGGACCAATAATACTTGTAGTATCCTTTAATATGGTTAGTTAATTGGTGAATTAAGTTTAAACTTTAGGGGGGAGGGTTGGGTTGGGTGGTATGGGGGAGGAAGTGTAAGCAACAGGTCTCGGATTCGAGCCCTCCTGTTTACACTAAAAAAAATTTAAAAAACAAAAAAAAAGTTTAAAACTTTAATTATTTAATAGTAATAGTGGTTTTTTCTAACCAACAATGGTATACTTTAATGATTAGTCCATTCTAAGTTACTTGTAAGTTGTAATCATCAAAAAAAAAAAAAAAAAAAAAAGGAAAGCTTCCGGAAGATGCAATCAGACGTAGCAAATCCGGACCGTTTACTCAAGTCAATGGCCAAATGGGCACTACATTACTTTTTTTTTTCGTGTATATAGTCTATTCCACCGGAAAAACAATTAAAAACTAAACGTTGTATTCACTACTTATTATGGTACAAAAAAATGAATATCAATAAGTCATCGTCTGCTTAATTATATACTGTCTCTCATTTTCGCTAATTGGCTAAAGACTTGCAAGTCGTGCCGGCCCAGATAGGATGAGCTTTCCACAGAATAAATTGTCGGGCACTTGGCTTCTACATTGACATGTCTATTGCCGTAATAAAATATGGTAGGTGTAAATCTAGTTTCCCCTGCCCCGTTTCCCTGCAGGGAAGAAATCAACTTATTATAAATATTTACTTACAATAATACAATTGTAAATAATGTTAAATAAGATTAAAAAGCTGTCAAGATAAAAATAAAGCACAACAAATCAAGTTACATTCAGTGCAAAGGAAAAACCGATCGAAATAAAAAAGGATTAGGCGCAAAACAGGTTGGAATTAGATAGCTTAGTCTTTAGAGGGGGAAAGGGGAGTTGGAAATAAATTAACAATAGTCCAAGAAATTTCTTCAGTTGTTGCGGCGGTCGTTGACACTGATTAGCATTATACTTGTAAGTAAAGTTGCAACTTTGGGAAATTTAGAGTTGTATTATATATATATATATATATATATATATATATATATATAATTGTATGTGGGGGATGGGGCGGATGTCTGTTGCCCCACCCCATCCCCCGCCCCATTTCTACCTCCACTGGCACCCGCCTCCATTGCCATCCTTAACCTTAAGGGAGGTTAATGTAATTTTCAAAATTTGGAGGGAGGCTAGTGAAATAGTCAAAAACCTCAGGGGAGGTTTCTGAAATTATCCTTTACTAAATTTGAGGATAAACCAGTTATTTTATTTTTTTAACACCATAATTTGATTTATGTACATCCTATCTAAAATATATTTATACCTTATTTTCACATATTTATTGTTGACAAAAGTTAAACCAAGCATACTTAGAAGTTTAGCAATTTTAGAATTATATTTTTTATTTGGTAACTATATTAGATTTGGTGTGACAATTGGCTTAGGAAATAGAGCCAAGTCATATTTTGGTATTATAATTATAATAGAATTGGTGGGTTATTTTTCTCTATTTAAGAACTTTGAGTCCTAAGTTTGTAGTTGAGCGAAATTATAAATTGAAACAGAATATTTTGTTTCCTTCCATGCTTTTCTTATTATTTATTATTTGTAGACTTTTTGTGCTAACATTCATACACAAGGCAAACTTGTGTGAAACAAAACTTGTGAGAACCCATCCTCGTGTCTACAATGTAGATTTTAGAGAAAATTAGGGCACTGTTTGATAATCCAATTAAGCGTTGAAACTTAATGAATTTAAATTTTAACAAATTCAAACGCGTTTGATAACCAAAACTAAAACATCTGAATTCATTAATTGGCACAAAATTTTCGAAACAAAATTTGCTCCAAAAAATAAGTGATAAATTTGCATCCTTCCGCAATCTGTTTTAGTGTGCCCATTCGTTGTGGTCGCATTTCGACTTCATTGGGTATTGGTATGTTCGAATCAAAGTCCAAAGGGTAAATGGGGTTGAAAAAATTCACTTGTTCTTTTCTTATTTTGGCCCAAATTATCTTTTCTCCCTACGAACTACCATAGTCTATTGTTACTTAAACACCTAATTTTTCAATACGCTAAAAAAAGACTTGTACAATCAGTTTATAATTCTGACGGAGTTTAGCGCAGGTACAGTTGATTTGTTAGATATTTCCTCACATTAACTCTGTAAGCGAATGGATTGCTTCGCGAAATGTCCAAGAAGATCATCGTTTCTTGGAGTTGTATGATTTTTTTTTTTTTTGAAGTTTGATCAGGAAATGTGAATGAGTTTTTGCCATGGATAGAGGTTTTGAGGAAATTAGTTTGCTTTCGCAAAGTCTGCTGCAACTTTGAGATGGAAAAAGTGGTAATCTACAAAATATTTTCTTTAAATAGTGCAATCCCCGATAAGGCCCCATTTTGGTTTTGGCTATCAACATTAATTGCAAAAGAAGTTTTAGTTGGATGGCAAACTAGCAAACTAGTTTGTTAAAATATCTGAAGTATGTGCACTTAGATGTGCCTTAACGAGTGTCTTGAGTACACAAATTAAAAGAACCAATGATTTATTAGTTAGGGTCTGTGTAAGGAGTATCCAATAGGCACTCGTTAACATATATTTCAAGTGTCATATTTTTTAAAATATAAGATTAATTTGTAAAAGTAAAAAAAATACAAGAGAGAGTAGGAAAGATTAAATAAAGAAATTATATAAATAAAATGGAGGATAATAATTATCACTATGTGTATATATATATATATATATCCTTATACTATATAAAAATGAGTTTAGGGCTTGAATTTCAACCGCAAGGATGTGAGAGTGTTTGAAGTACAATTAGAGTATTAAATATGAGCCATCATAACTAATTTAGCTTTGTTGTAATTACTTGGATGTCCTTTTAAACATTTAAAACTAGGGGTAAGTTTGATATGTGACATTGTTTGATATCCGATTAAACATTGGGTACAACTGAATTCAGCTTGTGTTTTAGTGAAATTATATAAAAGCCCTTCTAATCATTTAATTGTATTAACATCTAAGTCTTTTAATTTCTTAAAGCCTTTCTCATCAGTTATTTGCAAAGTTATGATATATAGATGTTAAGACACAATTAATGTCAATTAGTAGAGAAGTTTGGTTTCTTGGCCGTTATTATAGATGCTAATTCGGATGTTGCTACATTAACTACTCTTCTTCCCTATTTTGCAACACCTTTTTCAATAGATATGTTTTCTTTAACCAATCTACTTTTTGCTTGTAAAAAGTTTGTAATATTGCAAGTTGTATGTGCAATAATTTTTTAGTATTTTAATTCAATTGTCCATGTTAGACAAGCTTGATAAGGAAGAGATCACATTTGTTAATTGTTATTTATGGTTTAAAATAAGTTTATCATCATAAATTTTCCCATTTATAGATTACATCTACTTCTTTTGTTGTTTTAATTATTAGTTAGGGTAATTTTCAAATCGTTTGCTACTTTATTGACTATTCCATTTAGACAATTTTTCACTTCATCTGATTTGCCAATATGTTTAACTATCTACTTAAAACTATTTGGCTACAAATCTAAAGTATGTACTTCATTACTTTCAATTGTTTTTCTTAAATTGAGTGGATTAAGATGCTTTAGTACTTTTTTGAGGTAATTATTCCTCTAAATTAGCATGTTAGATATTTCGTGATTGTAACCCTTATCGAGAAGGAAATGCTTTGCTATATGTCCTAAATCATACAATAAATTATAATTAATTGCTTGCTCAATGTGAAGGCCTCGTGATGATATATGTCCTTAGAATCAATATAAATTCAAGAATTTGGCTTGCAAGAACAGAAATTCTACCAGCAATGATTTCTTCAAGTATGCTAATTGTTCAAATCTCACTTATATGACAAGATAATGTTGTGGATTGCCCTCATAGCAAGATCAAATTTAAACTAAATAACAAATTTTAATATTCCTAAAGTGCATGAGCAGATATAAATAGGTCTTTTATTATACTAGGTTAGATGCAAAGTAGTTGATCGTATCTTATAATTATGTTTTATTGCATATTATATTTTTTTAACTCAATATGTAACATATGATTTTTTTAATTTAATATCACATAATAAAATTATCATATTTCAATTCTTATACTAGAAAATGCCAAATAATAATTATTAACCATCTTTAATTATAGGCACTAAATTCCCACGCGTTGCGTGGGCTTTTTCCCCTAGTATATATGATATGTTAAGCAGATTTCAAAGTGCTTAATGGGCATCGGTTAAAAAAAACCCTATTAATTATAACGGATAGCTTATTCAGTTGATGATTTACTACTTTAATGCTCATACCATTATAGATTACCTGTAACGCCATAAACAAAAGAAAGTTTGAGCAAGGTGTCATGACCATGGTACATGCATAGCGATTATGGACCGTTTACTTGAGTCAATGGTCTCCCGTGAAAACATTTCATAGAAATTCATTGATTTCTTCTGTTTATAAAGCAAGTGGACTTTGATTTTTGAATAATCCTCACTACTTTTCTTCTACTATAATGCAAGATTCTCCGTTTTCGTGGAAAAAGTCTACCAGTATTCATGCGTATACATATACTATTGTATATCACATGACTTAATAAGCTTTCGTGTCTATGTGGTTCAAATTGCCGTAAAATAATTATGAAATAAACGTTATTGGAAGCATTCACTAATTATTATGGCACAAAGAAAATAAAAATGTCATTTTTTTCCCTATAAAAACTTCCAATCCAAACAGACGGATTAAATGTTTTTCATTTTTGCTCATTGGCTGAAGAGTTACGAGTCGTTGCATTTGGTCCTGCTCTTGGACTTTGTGGCTTGTAGAATTCACCATAACTTAAGGGATAACTGGCAACATAATTCATATTAATTATTAGGGTAAATTATATATAATCTCCATGTGATTTCGTCTATTGTCACATAACCCCCCGGCCCCAACGTTTCAAAATGCCCACTTCACCTCCAATTGGTTTATATGGAAACTTAACGAAAAATAGCCTATGTAACGTCCTTCATTAAAATACCAATAGTATAATACCAATAGTATCCTTACTTAAATGCTAAATTAGTTGAGAGCTTAACCGCCTTATATAAAAGTATAGGAGGATTACGTGGATAAATATAAAAATCACAAGGTGTAAGGTGAATATTTATACAAACTATAAGAGAGTTATATGGAGATTAATATTGTATCGCACACGCTTTTAGAGCGCATTGGTATAAAGTTGTACTAATTGGTTGTGCATTTCATCCATTTTTCACTTTACTTAAAACCATAGTAGGATTATGTGGCTATTTTGGAACCTTAGGAGGGCCATTTAGTATTATATAAAATCATTGGGGCTTATAAGTAATTTATCCTAATTATTAAGGAAATGCAATGCAATTTTTTTATTTATTGGTGAGGGGGGTAATTTGGTTATTACAAAATTAAGACAAACTTCGGCTTACACTCTTAATTACCAACACTCAACCATACTTTTTATAGGATAATAGATAGGTAGGTAGCTAATAGATAGATTAATGTGTCTTAACCAATGTTTTAAGGACACCAAAATAGAAGAACTCTTTAATTAGATTTAGAATTATTACATTTATGTTAGACGCAAGTCAGTTGGACCAATACTACTTGTAGCTTCCTTTAATACGGTTAGTTAATAGATGAACTAATTTTAAAACTGCTAATTATTTATTAGTCCATTCTAAGTTACTTGTAATCATAAAAAAAAAAGAAAGTTTCAGGAAGATGCAATCAGACATAGCAAATCCGGACCGCTTATTCAAGTCAATGGCCAAATGGGCACTACATGAATTTTTTTGTCGGGTCTATAGTCTATTACACTGGAAAAACAATTAAAAACTAAACGTTGTATTCACTAATTATTATGGTACAAAAAAAAAATGAATATCAATAAGTCATCATCTGCTTAATTATATATTGTCCCTCATTTTCGCTAATTGGCTAAAGACTTGCAAGTCGTTGCCGGTCCTGATAGGATGAGCTTTCCACAGACTAAATTGTCGGGCACTTGGTTTCTACATTGACGTGCCTGTTGCCGTAATAAAATATAGTAGGTGTAAATCTAGTTTAGGGTCCGCCCGTAGGTTATATAGTTTATGAGTAAATCTTATATACATTGACAGTATATACATTATCACTGTTGCAAATATATGATACATGTATAAAATTTAAATTTTAAATTTAAATTCAAATTTTATGTCATATATTCAATGATAAAATTGTATACAACATCAGTGTGTAAAATATTGATTCTTCTTATAAACACATGAACTTTCGATATATTATTGTCCAAAAATAGATATGTATGCCGATTTGTGTCATGTTAAGGGCTTTTTGATTTAATTCTCTTCGTGGAGTATGACACAGTTCTATTCGATTTGTTGCAAATTTTACCACTTCAGCACTGTAAGTAAATCCAATGAAATGCCTTACAATTTTACCACTTCAGCACTGTATGACAGTATCCAAGAAATTGCCTGACAATTTGGACAAAAATAGTAAATGGACGTTTCCATCCAAAAGTAACAACGTTTGAGCCACACATGTGGATACTAAAAATGAGGAAAATCAAATTTTCCCATTTTAGGCAATTCTAAACATTATTGTGAGATAAAGAAGAGCTCCTATGAGTTGCATGATACTTTTTCAATTACCCTCAAATAAATTTTTCAAAACCATAGACCAGTCTTTTGGCACTTTAAACACTTTCGCAGGTATATATCATGACTCTTCTGATTCAGATTCAGATATGCTTTTCAGTTCATTGACAAAAGTGCCTCCACCCAATGTGGCTCTCTCATTTATCGTGTTTGTGGATCCAAAAGGATTTCTTGGCATGGAAGGGGGCTCTTCTGCTTCAAGCATTTGAATCACAGCTTTCATGGAGGGCCGATCAACAGGATACCACTGAATGCACCACAGCCCTATAATCATTAGTTTCTTTGCTGTAATCTTATCATCCTCGTTGTCAATTTGGATTGTTATTTCTTCTCCTTGATCCAATTTGTTGTAAATCCACTCTGGAAAATAAGCTTCAGCACTATTATCTTGACCTCCAATCTTAATGTTTTTCCTACCGCCAACCATTTCGATCAACAACATCCCGAAGCTATAAACATCGGACTTATGTGACACCTTTCCAAAGTTCCTGGAGAAGACTTCTGGTGCAATGTATCCCATTGTTCCCCTTGCAGCAGTCATACTCACAGCACTTTGCTCTTTGGAGCACAACTTTGCTTGACCAAAATCAGAGATTTTTGGATTGAAATTCTGGTCTAGCAAGATGTTATGAGGTTTAATGTCAAAGTGGAGGATCCGCTGCTCGCACCCTTGGTGAAGGTACTCGATCCCTTTCGCTATGCCCAAAGCAATGTTGTGCAACTTCTCCAATCCGAGCAAATTTCTCTCGTTCTCTGAAGATGTGAACTTCTCAAGGGAGTGATTGGGCAAGAATTCATAGACAAGAACTCCTCTGTATCCATCAGCACAATATCCAACCAATCGAACAATGTTAACGTGGTGAATTTGACCAATGGTGCCCACTTCATTGATGAAATCTTCCCCACCTCCCTTGCTGTTGTTGAGGACCTTAACAGCTACAAAAACTTCGTTGGAAAGCTTGCCCTTGTACACTGTTCCGTAACCTCCTTCGCCTAGTTTTTCACTGAAATTTCCAGTTATTTTCTTGATATCAGAATAGGAGTATCTCGATGGCTTGAGAGCCTTGTAATCCTCCAGAAATTGTCCGATCTTAAGTTGATCTTCTTTTTTGAGTTTTTTGGAGCGAAATATTCGATAGGAGGCAATTCCAATTAAGACAATGAGAGCAGGACCTAGTACCATGCCTGCATGCCAAAGTGAATTCATTACATAGACAGAGAATCCCACTCTTGTTTTCCATTTTTCTTTTTGTTTTATTTTGTATGAAAAAGAAACCAAACAAAAAAAAAAATTGACTTCAGGTAGAGTGATGACTAACCTGTAACCTTTATTTTCTTCAGCGGACCTGTGAAAAAGGAAAGATAACACTCATGCATGAATTTATTACTGGAAATTGACTCAACTACTAATCTTCTTTGTAGTACATTAGGGACGCAAATATTGGAAAGCAGGTACTGATATAATAAATGCGCATATAAGCCTAGGTTTTTATCACTTTTTCAAAATTTGTCAAATTTTTTGTCACCACCACACAAAATTCATAATGGGAGAAACCCTGATATCAAGCGTATTTTGCAATTTCTGAGAATCCCTTCAAGCACTAACCTTAAAGCACCCTGACTTCAAACTTCCCTGTCAAACGATCCTAAAAGCTGAGGAAAAAACTGATTTTATGCAGATATAGGGCAGTTTTAAAATAGAGTGTACCTAATGCTTTCAGGTTTTAGAATAAGGAGGTACACATTTGAACATGTCTGCTGCAATGGATTACACATTTCATAGGAAAACCAAGAAACCAAATTTAATTGAGGGCAGCAGACGCACATACAATGTGTACACTCCATCTGTTCTGGAGAGGATGGATATTATTGTTTGATGGAAATAAATGTAGATAGGACAAGCTAGGAGGCAAATTTAAAGGCTCTCTTTATAGCAAAACTACAAGAGATGGAAGGAGGATAGATGATCTACCTGTACCATTTTCCAAGCATTGAATACCTGCTGAACTGCTGCTCTTCCTCAATCTGCAGAACTTGTCTTCTGCCTCACAGTATCCACAATTTGGTGCGGACCAGCTTAAAACTAGAGGGATTTGAGGCTCAATGAGGGCATAGGAAACTGAAGGAATCTCAAACATCTTCGTGCAAGAAACTAGGGACGCAAATAGGATGGAATCAGTAGACTGAGTTGCATAAACTTGGTAACTCGAATTGCTGAGGCAGGGGATAGGTATCATGTACCATTTTTTGGAAGAACATTTAAAAAAAGAAAAGTCATAGTCGTTGAAATCTGGTATTTGAAAGAGAGATGCAGATAAATCTAGTTTGGGAAGCAGCCCAGGAAGGCAGCCATCCAATTTGGCTACATACAGCAATCGAGACTCGTAATCAATTTTATTGATGACAAACTTCACTGAGAAAGGAGGCTTGGTCTGGTTGAGGGATGCTTTAACTCGAAATGGGTTCTCCAGCACAGTCTCCTGACTCTGGGTGCAAGAAAGCTCAAATCCAGGGAAGCCACAGTGCTGTGGTTGACGGTCTTTCAATCGGAAGGGGAATCTGATAGCCGGACCCTGATCGCTGCACCTTCTCACTGTGCAATTATCATGTATTTTGCAGGACCCTAGAGCAGTTAAAGTGGCTAAGAAGATTAGCCTGACCACATTGAGGATCACCATTTTCCGAGGAAGAAAGATAAACTCCTGCACCTCCCTCTTCAAGGCAGATTGTGGAAAGTATCCTTTTGAATTGGGTCGCGCACAACGTCTTGTTTCTCCTTTTATTAACTTGGATTTCTTCAAACTAAATCGATTGTCGCGAAATAAAAGAAAATAAAAAAAAATTAAGAGGTCAGAACAGGGATTTTGATTGTAAATATTGCAGACTTCTTAGCTACTAGCCTAGTTCACTAAATTTCAAGGGAGTTTGGTGCAAGCAACGGTTCAAGATAATCTGTCTATACTCTATATAAAAGTACCATGAGTCTTGGTATTTTAAAGTGTAAGTGTAAGCAGTGTAGTGATATTAGCTTAATCTGTGGTTAAAGCTTGATATAATCTTAATTGTGGATCGTTTAGAAGAAAATAATGGTTGATTATCTTAGAAGAAAATCTAAGATAAGTGTAAGAAAAAAATGAGTACCATTTCTTTTTTCAACCAGGAAAGGGACGTTTGGCAGGTGGAGTGATTGATTATTTGAGCTTGGTATGATCTTTGACCGGAGAAAATCTTCTACTTTATTTGTATATTCATGAACAAATAAACAGTCCGTACAATCTCATGCCAGTTAGATATGCATACTCAGACATAAGAAAGATGACCAAGAACTTCAACCACAAATTGGGGGAAGAAGGCTATGGGACCGTTTCTAAAGGAAAGCTTCGGAGTTGCCCACTAGCAGTGGCAAAAATGCTGGGCAAATCCAAGGCCAATGGGCAGGAATTTATCAGCGAAGTTGATAAATGAAATCGTGCCTAATGGATATCTTGAGAAATATATATTCCGAAAAGAAACAGAGACAACATCCTTGAGTTGTGAAAAGCTGTTCGACATTGCTCTTGGGATTGCTGAGGGGATTGATTATTTACACAGCAGCTGTGAGATGCAAATTTTGCATTTTGATATCAAGCCTCACAACATTCTTCTAGATGAGCATTTTGCTCCTAAACTTTCTGACTTTGGACTCGCAAAATTGTATCCGACAGAGAATAGGGGACCAGAGGAGCCAGATATACTTCCCTTCATGGGTTTATGATCAGCTGAGCGAAGGAAACAATATTGAGATGGGAGATGCCTCAGAAGATGAAAGAAATATAGTGAAGAAGATGATCCTGGTAGCATTGTGGTGCATGCAGATGAAGCCAACCCATCGCCCTTCCATGAACACAGTCATTGAAATGCTTGAAGGCGATGGTGAACTCATAGAAATGCCTCCTAAGCCATTTCAAAATCCGGACGAAACGCCAGCACTCGAGGATGATGGAATTGATGCGGAAGACATATAGCTGATCTCCCACTGCTATCTCTAGATCGTATGGATTCAAGTGAAATGAGTATGGATCGAGATTAAAGTAAATCCAAGTGTCACAGAATTCTCTCTGTTTCATTTCTTCCTCAATTAGCTGTAATAGTATTGATACTTCGTGTCCACATGTCAACCAAAGAGCTGCTCTTGCCATTTATCCAGAAAAAAGGAAAAAAAAAACAAAAAAAAAGTCTGCTCGTTCAATATTAAAGTACTAATTATATTGGAATTGTTAATGTTATTCCTGTATGCAATTAAGGTTTGACAGATTTCTTTACAAGGATTTTTCTTAAAGGTGGCACGGTGACACTTGTTAATACCTCTAAATTGCACCTAAATCACCATATAAATGAACACACTGATATTTATTATATTCTTGCATTTAGACTCCTTCTCAAATTAGTTTTAGTTTTGCTTAAAAATTAATACCTAAGATAACGAATGCTGTCGAGGCAAGCATTAGCCATACTCATGTTTTAATTGCTTATAAAAAAAAATTTTGGCAAAATTTTAGTGCATTTATAAGGGTCCTCCAACCCCCTCTCCCTTTTTGAATTAATTGAAAAAGTATATATCTTGAAGTAACTAAGGGATGCTTGTTTCACAGATTGGAATCGGAAATGGAAACGGAATCATAGACTTTGATTTTGGAATTAAATTTTTATTCCAATATCTAACTTGGTTCACACATTGGAATTAGCATCATTCCAATTCCTGATGCTTGGTTTGATGAGTGTTTCGGAATTAAATGCAATTAAATTCCAAATTTATCCCTGATATAACAATTCTTATAAAAAAAGGGATAATTGCAGAAACCTCCCTTGAGGTTTCTGACACTTGCACTGACCTACTCTGTGGTTTGAAAAATTGTACTGACCTCTCCTGAACTTACTAATCCTTTACCAATTCAGTCCAAACGATTAAAATATTATTTTAGGGAGTAAAATTAGAATTTTGTACTAAATTTGCCCTTTGTGTTACATGTCCAATCAATGACAAAGCACTTCAAATTAATTAACAATTAATAAACTCTAAGGGGTGTAGTTTATGGGCAAATACGCATTACCCATTTAAAGAATCGGCTCTTTATGGATATTTTACTTTCAACATTTAATTTATGATAAATATATCAATGTTTGTAAGTAAAATTCAAAAAGTGTTACAGTAATATGCTTATCAAAAGGAAATCAGTAGGTTATCTATTTAAGATAAATTAAATATTTTTTAAAAAAAGAAATGGCCCATAAAGTATTATTAATTCTTTATGGCTGTTATCCATTAGATGAGTAAAGTATTGGCTCTTTATGGGTATTTTATTCTGAATCATTTAATTTATATTAAATATATAAATATTTGTAACTAAAATTGAAAAAGTGTTACATTAATATTTTTACAGAAGGGAAACTGATAGGTTTTGTATTTAACAAAAATATAAGACTTTGTAGATTTTAAAGTTTAAGGAAGGGATATTTGAAATTTAACGATCGTTATACAACTTTCAAAACAAACAAATTCATTCCAAATTTTGGTTTGGGGTAATTTCATAAATCAAATCGTGGTCACTTTCTGTAAAGTATCACTTTCCCATAAAAGACCAGTTTTTTATGGCTTTCCTTCATTATAAGAACAGAGTACCTATTTTCTCATAAACAAATTTATTTATCGAATAAAATAAGATAAACCCGTTTTCCAATAAAACACCAGTTCTTTATGACTTTCCTCCATCATAAGAACAGAGTACCCTTTCAAAATACAAATGGGAAACCGCACAAAACATAAACAAGGAGAGCCTCCAAGGAGTCAAAGGGTCTGCACAGTTGAGTCTTTGAATTTGTTCTCTTCTGAAGATGGCCGATTCTCCGAGTCAGATTGCCGGACCTCTTCAATCATCCTAACTACTTCTTCCATGTTTGGTCGCATGTCTGCCACCTTGGCAACACATGCCATGGGTATTTGCAGCATCTGCACCATTTCTTCTTTAGTATTTTGGAACCTCATCAACTCAACATCAACAACTTCGGCTGTCCATTCCTCCCTTTAGATCTACTTTAGATCTTTTTTTTTTCAAGAGATTTTGGATTGCAGATAAAGACTATATGATGAAAAAGAAGAGATAGGAAAACTGATAAAGAAAAAGAACAAAAAGAGCGGCGTGTGATGGAGAGAAAGAGAGGGTAGAGAAGTTTTGTATGCGATGGGTAGGTCCGTCATACATGTTGTCCGAGGAAATAAGTTGAGGGTTTTATCCAAAACCTCCCAGTTTGTTCGGGAATGGGATAAGTCCTATTTTTTAGAAATGATTTCAAAAATTGCATTCCAATAGGCTTAACCCAAGCAACAAATAAGGGATTTATTCCATTCTGTGATTCCCAAACCCTTCAACCAAGCAGCTCCTAAGATCCTATTTGATAACTCAATTTAGCATTCAAATTTAATGAGTTCAGATATTAATATGTTCAGACATGTTTGACACTCAAAAATTAAAATATCTTAATTAATAAAATGGTTGTGAATTGTTTAGATTACACTTAGGGTATGTTTGGTTCCCTATGAAATTGGGGTTAAGAATTGAAATCGGAGCCCCAATTCCAAATCTTGTGTTTGGATAATACCTTTCCTATAAAATTAAAGTCGAATTGCAATTTCATATCGATCGAATTCCATGGTTTCAATTCTTTGGCTAGACCAAAGAATTCCAATTCCAATTCCAAGGCCAGACTCCCATTCGGATCAACATGCGGACTTTAAATGGATAAAAACTCCAAAACGGGTCAACTATAAAACTGGATTAAAAGAAAACAAAGCTGGCTTCTTTCTCTCTCTTCATGAGCGAATCGCCATATCTACCCTAATCTGTTTTATAGGTGACAAACTAACCCATTTAATTAAATTTATCCGTACCAGTCCATAGATAGATGGGTATGAGTATTTTATATTTTTGTATATAGGTATAAATGAGTTACCCAATAATACCCATTTATTAAATGGGTATTATTGGGTAACTTATCAAACCTAATTAATCCATTTAGAATTCTCTTTCCCCAAGTCTCTTCTCTTTTCGCACCCATTTTTTTTTTTTCAAAATTTTCATTTTGTCATGATGTTAGCTACTTTGTTTCATTATTATTATATTTGTTAGTTTTATCTTATTATTTTATTTTCTTTTAGTTTGTTAACTTGCTCATTTTTTAGCATTACCAATTTATGATAAGTTTTACTCTCTTTTCTTATCTTTCTAAAATGAAATTTTAAATTTATATATGAAAAAAAATGTTAGGAGTTCAAAATTTTTGGATTAAATTTTTATATTAACTTTTATAATACTTAGTTCAAATTTTTTTATTCTTATTATTCAATTATTAAATACTATGTAATTTTGCAGCATAGAGTATAAATGGAAAAAAAATTGCTAATTAGGTTTATTGAGTATTATAAGTAAATATTTAAAACTAATGATAGGTACAATGAGCAGTATAAATTGATAACTTAATTTGCAAAAATGAATTTAAATGAATTTACAAAAAATTAAAATAAATGGGTTATAGTAAATGGGTAATTAGGTTACCCAATTTATTTTTTGACTTACCTATTTATACCTATTTAATTAAATAAATATAAATGAATTAACTCACTTGTATCCATTACTCATTTTATCCAACTCAAACCCGTCAAGTCACCATTTTGACACATGCTCTATCGTTCTTTGCCGCCGCTACCTCCTCCTTTTCCTCACACCTCTTCCGGAACCCGTCCAGGCCTTTCCTGCTCCTCCTCTCCTCCGCAGCATCGAGTGGGTGAAATTTACAGATTGAGTTCTATATTGGTCTCCTTTCTTTCGTTTCTATCTATCTTGAATTGTGCCTCCCACCTTTACCTTTACCTTTGCCATTGCTTCCATTGCCGTCACCATCGCCATTGCATCCTCTCATCCTCACTCTCCTTCCGCTCCTTCAATTCTCAATTCTCGACAAATTCAGGGTTTATGATGGTATATTCACATTTAAATTTTTGCCAATCAAAGATTGATTTTTTTGGGTTGTTCCTCTGATAATGTTTGCCATTAATGTTATAAATTTACTACTATTTTTTTGCTTCTAATTCAACGTTGGGACTAGGATAGAAAAAAGGGTCGTACTCTGTTGCCCTGTTCTTCTTTATTTCATTTTAATTAGTTAGTGTGGTCCTAGTTTTTAGATGGTTCTCTTATTATTAGGAATAGCTAAAAATGATTGTGGTGATGAAGATGAAAGGTCGAATTTTGTATATATCATCCTTTGAAAGGTTTTGAAGGTTTTGAGATGCATTTTCTAGTAATAATAGCTACATATTTCTGGCTATTTCAAGTATGCATTTTCTTTTATGTTTGTTGCCAATTGCTGGTGAAGTAGTTGTGAAATATTTTATTAGATGCTGATGCGTATTCATCTCCATGTGTTTTTGAAATTAGCATGAAAAATGGGAAAAGGGTTTTTTTTTTTAATTTTTCTATATTCTTTGCTTGTTGATCATTGCGGGTTGGAAAAATTGAGGGATTTACCTGTTAGGGAAACTTTTTGTATTTTTAGTATGAAAATGAATAATATTTGTATATTGCAGGAGTGGAGAAAAGCAAACTAATAACAAAAAAGATCAAGAAAACTTGGTGGAATTGGACAGATTTTCAACTGAATGGGACTACTAAATTGCTGAACTTGCTTAGCTCCTATTATTTATGATGGTCGAGTGAGATATTATGTTATGCCATGTCTGCTGGTCTTGTTTGTTTTATTACACTTTGATTGGTACAATGGAATTACACTTGCATTTTTTAGGAACATTGTCTTCTGATGACTACTAGTTGTAGCTGTGTAAGTGGCATGCCAGTCAATAACCACAGTTTCTTCATACTTAAGACTGCTTAACTTTCTTATCACCAATGTTTTGCCATTCAGTAATGTTAAAATGTAACTTTAAATGAAGAATATGTGCACAATTTTACTACTGTAGGGGACAAAATTTACCTTCCATTCTTGATTTTGGGCTTGGAATGTTCACTTTCTTCATTTTACAGATTGTTGATATTTATTTTCTGGGTTTATAAGTTTTATTCTTCTTTTGCTAAGT